AGGACCCTGGCCGGTTTAGCTCAGTGGACAGAGCGTCACGCTCTGTGGACGGAAGGGTCCAGGTTCGGGTCCGGTCAAGGGCATGTACCTCGGTTGCAGGCTCCATCCCCGGCCCTGGTTGGGTCTTGTGTGGGAGGAAACCAATCGATGTGGGACACATCGATATTTCTCTCTCTCTCTCTCTTTCTCTCTCTCTTTTCCCCTCTCTTCCACTTTCTCTTAGAATCAATGGAAAAATACCCTCTGGTGAGATATAACAACAACAAAAAAAAAGATGAAGGATGGGGAAGGGAGCGAGGACCCCAAGAGAGGACAGAGCGGTGGCCGCCAGCCTCCTTCAGGGTCAAGTGGGCAGCTCTCCGTCCCCGTGCCTGGGCCCACGTGGGCCGGGCTGAGGCTGGGACAGTGTGGGAGCAGCCTGGGAGGTGCCGGAGTGACAGGGTCCTGGGGGGAAGAGCCACGGCCCGCGGGGACTCGGGATGCGAGAAAGTTCTCACCAGTTTCCTGACCTCCCCGCAGGCACCGGGCCCAGCCACGCTACTTTGTCCTTTGTACACAGCCAGCAGCTCGCAAAGCTGGACAGCAGCCCTGGGAGGCGGGGAGTGGGCTTCCCATGGCACAGATGGAGAAAATAAGGCCCAGAGAGGCTCAGCGACTTGCTCAAGGACACACAGCATGTTGGTGAGAAGCAGAAGTAGGAATCCAGCTCTATCGGATCCTCCGCCGCCTGGGCCGCACCCCCATCATGAAAGTCCGTCTCTTCCTCCGAGCAGCTATGGGGAGCTACAGTCCACCCCGGGGTGCATGAGGCACGGAGGATGCAGATGGCCCGGGGAGGGGACCGTCAGGGCTGCACGCTGTGGTTTTGCAGCTCACCCGCCTTGTCCTGGGATCGGCTTCAGAGTATGTGCTAACGGAGTCTCTAAATCAAGCGTGTCTAACTCTCGGGCCGCGGGCCGCATGCGGCCCACAACCAATATTTTTGCGGCCCAGCCAATATAACGGTATGTAAGGAAACATGAATTTCATCATTGCTCTTGTTCTATTTTATGCTATACTTTTCGAAAGAAACCTAAATTTCTATGAAAATTGAAGCTCTAGCCGGTTTGGCTCAGTGGATAGAGCGTCGGCCTGCGGACTGAAGGGTCCCGGGTTCGACTCCGGTCAGGGGCATGTACCTTGGTGGCGGGCACATCCCCAGTAGGAGGTGTGCAGGAGGCAGCTGATCGATGTTTCTCTCTCATCGATGTTTCTGGCTCTCTATCTCTCTCCCTTCCTCTCTGTAAAAAATCAATAAAATATATTTTTAAAAAAAATATTTAAAAATCAACAGCAACAAAAATGTGTGCTACAATATGTCCTTTAAAAATATATATATATATATATTTTTTATTGATTTTAGAGAGGAAAGGAGAAAGATAGAAACATCAATGATGAGATAGAATCATGGGCTGCCTCCTGCACGCCCCCCTACTGGGGGGACCTAGCCCGCAACCGGGGCATGTGCTCTTGGCTGGAATTGAACCTGGGACCCTTTAGGCGAATGCTCTATCCACTGAGCCAAACCGGCCAGGGCGATACGTCCTTTTATTTGTGTGTTTGCGCCTCCTGAGAACACGTCTTCCCTCTCAAAATGTTCTTGGTTAACTTTTCACGTTTGCTCTTCCAAATGAACTTTAGAGTCGGCATCTGAATTCCGTCTCAACGGCACGGCGTTGACTAGGTGTTTTAATTTAGAAAGGATTGACATCTTGACAGTAT